GTGGTGGTATGGCAGTCCAGAAGATCCTACCTCTGCACTGGGAGTGGTGGAATGGTGCCCCAGCAGCCCCTTCCTCTGCACTGGGAGTGGTGGTACAGTGGCCTGGAGGCCCCTTCCTCTGCACTCTCAGTTTACCTTTTTATGGTTTCACATATTCACACACAACTTCAAACCAAATATATTACATGGAAAATTCCAGAAATAAGCAACTCACAAGATTTGAACTGAGCATCATTCGGAGTATTGTGATCAATTCTTGTGTCATGGTACTCCACCCTACACTAGATATGAATCATTCCTTTGGCAGTGTATCCATGTTGTATAAGCTATGCACTTATTAGTCACTTAGTAATCATCTTGGTAATGAGGTGGACTGTCACAGTATCAGTCGTTTTTAAAATTTACCCTCATTTTATTTAATAATGGCCTCAATGCACTTTCATCCAGTATATTGTTATAGTTGTCTTGTTTGTGTTTTTTGAGACAGGTCTCGCTATGTAGCTCAGGTTGGCCTCAAACTTGTGGCAATCCTATCTGTGCCTTCTGAGTGCTGGGATTACAGGTGTGCACCACCACACCCAACTCCTATTTTATGATTATTAGTTGTTCTTAATTGTGCCTAATTTATAAATTATGCTTTATTGTAAGTGTATATTAGAAGACAAAACATATCATAATATAGTAGGGTTGAGTGCATTCCCTGGGCATCTGGAATGTATCCTCCATGGATACAGAGGAACTACTACACTGTACTGTCATTAAATGTTTGTTAAATTTATTCATATATAATTAATGGATTAAAATAAATGATGATCATATATTTCAGTTCTAAATATTGAATTTAAGTAATCATTTTCAGTAGTTCTGCTTTCAATATATAAAGAACTAAAAGCTGAAATTAATCACTGGAAATTTTCATGTTTTCTATAGTTAGTATATGCTTATGGGTTACCACTTAGAGTTTAGCTGTAAATTAAATCTGATAGCAAAACATTTTCTTGTTCCACTTCTGAAAACCTGCCAAATATCTGATATTATAGCAGATAAACACAAATATGTAAACATTATTATTATGCTTACATCTTTGATGACAAAGACAATGACTTGCTAAATTCATTTAAATTAACACCCATCTCCTTACCACCAAGAAAAGCACACACAAAATCCCTGGTGCCTTTCCTTGATATTGTTTTAAAATATTAATATAATTTTTATATTTTCCTAAAAGAATATTTGCTTCAAAGGTCTTTTGAGTAATCCCAGGCTGTCTCAAAACAGAAAAAAAAGCTATAAGCAGAGTCACCACTAACAAGATTCCTGAGAATACACATATTACTGGGGAGCTGCTGGGAGCAATGCTACATAATTCTAGGGAAAAATCATTTGAGTAGGCCTAGTTCTCCTGCCTACAGCCCAGCTAGGACATTCCAGACATAATTGCATTTTAGCCTCTGGTCACAACTGAGACCTGAGTGATC